GTAAGTATTCATTAATTCGTAAACTATGCATTGGGATCCAATATTGTAAAAAAATTGCGATTTGATTTATAGAATTTATAATTCCGTAAATAATATCTCAATTTTGTGGGATTCTTTCGAGATCGTGAGATAGTGTAGTGGTAGTCAATATTTCATTTTCACTAACGTAATTTGATATTGCAAATTTAAGTCAAGCAAAAAATGCCACTATATACGTAAGTTATTATTAATTCTATAACTCTATGTGCGAATTTTGGTTATTCAATTATTTTATAATTGTATACAAATGAAATGTCCAATAGTGGGTTTATTCAACTCGGTGCAGGCTTAAGCGTCGGTCTCGCAGGGCTCGCTGCCGGATTCGCAATTGGGGTTGTAGGTGATGCCGGTGTACGTGCTACTGCACAACAACCACGATTATATGTTGGGATGGTGAGTGAATAAATTAAAATTAAATATACGTAATTTAGCAATTAATACTGATTGGTTGGTTTGAACCAGATTTTAATTCTCATTTTCGCTGAAGTATTGGGTCTTTATGGATTAATTGTTGGATTGATCTTGAATACCAAGTCTAGTGGTACATGTTAATAAAATGAAATACTTTGGTAAGGAATGGTCTTGATGTTTTTGGTAAATGAATGTTATTTAGAACTTTTAAATGATTATTATATTTGGACTAACGAGGCATGGAAAGAACAAAACAAAACGTGCATGCATAATATGTTCTATTATATAAATGTATGTTATAATCAATGCAGATGTTTGGAGTTTATACAGATTATGATAGCTTGGTTTTTTATTTCATTCAGCCTTGATTTTTTTATTGTATTTTATTTTGTGATATTGATAATTTCAATCTTTAATTAAAAGATAGAAATAAAAAGTTGTTACAAATTCAAATCCGAATTATATGAGAATAATTGTTTTAACGTATATATATAAAAGTTTAAAAATTTTTATTAGATAATACAAATCTAATTACTTGGTTTTCATAACATGAAATTTTAAAAATAGACCCGGCCGGCTGGCTTTTTTTTTTAAATTTCATATATAAAATTTTATAAAATTTATATAAA